GGAAACGTAACTCCGACCCAAAAACCCCACTAGGCACGCATAGGGAACAGAAGTATAAAGGAGCAGATTTGACGTTAAATTCACGGTCCTTGCACAGGAATCGAAACGTCTACGCGTAAAACTTTGGAAGCCTTTGGATACATAGCAAAGGCCCAAAAATGAACCGCAAAGAGGAATGCCTCGTAATAACGCGTGACCTAGCACCATATCTCAGGCTAATATTCCCGACCTGAGCCAGGCACAGTCTTACATTAGCACAGACTCCAAGTGGCAGGTCTTCAATGATTAATTGAAAGACCTAAAACATCTAAGCGGTGAGTGTTTTTGAAATGAAGTTTTTTCTATGCGACCCCAAAATTTATCTCTTACATTTTCTGCTAGGGTTATGAAGGCCTTTGATTTAATAATTTGCGAATCAATTTGACCTTTCCAGGCTCTGAAGATGGCGAACCTTGCCGAAACGTTAGCCACCACGACTGTTGTAATATTCGTGCTGCATTATTAACTGTATTGTTATATGCTTCGCTGATATTCAATAAATAATATCAATAACACCTCGGAGCGGCTAAACAGAAGAAGATACTGATTCAATCAAATTAAACTACACACAAAAAATCTTCATTACTTGGAAACTCCTTACTATCCTAATTTGCTGACATCAATGACTAAACAATTTCAAGAAAGAAACTCTAGATTTCGTTAGAAAAAATGATGATTATTGCTGGATTGCAAAACAGCAAATTGTCTGGCAAGAAGTAGTTCCGCCTTGTCAGCTAGGTACCCTAAATGCGAGCTCTGCCACCGCTCAGATTGCGTTATAAATAATATGGTTGATCGAATGAGCTTCGAATGATACAGCTAACTCTCACTACCTCTTCGCTGGTGGTTGATGATTCAAAGTGACTCGGACTTCAATAAACATAAAAAACTTTAACGCATCCTTGCAAGTAATTGCATAGATTTGCTATGGCGCCAGTTATATGTATGAAACATCAAATGTCTGTTCTGTGATTGAATTTCCATCGGTAAACAGTCAAAAGCGTAACATTCTCATAGTGCAGTGGCTTAGATACATAAACAAAAAACTCACAACTGATTTTCAACAAAAAAGAAAGTAATTAGACTTAGAAATGGATTAAATATGAAGTGAAGCATCAATAATTGTGCAGACTCAGGTGCTCAACATTCAGTCAATGGACTTGCTTCAGCAGCGACTCTCACAGCGCCAGAATTTCACAAGAAATGAGACAGACCGCAAGGCGACCCGTGATAAGAATACGGGCAGAAACACAACTCCACTGTCGTATCCTGGATGTCGCTGATGGCATAAACACACACACAGTCCTTGCAGTTGGTATAGTTTGCCAGAGAATGGACAAAGAAAATTCATAGCCGTTGACACGGCGCCTTCTTCTGCAACGATCCGAGTTCTCGAAAGACTTATGGGAATAACTTTGCTTATTCATTCTACCCTTATGCCATGAATCTCTAGGACGACCATCAGCCAAAATTTTTGAAAGAATACACATATTCATTGAAGTCACAGACATAGATGCACTTCCCCAGGTCCACTTTCCCTTCCACGATTATCAGCAAGTTCGGAAAAGCCTTTCTGCACTACTGATCTCTTCATGAGTAACGTCATAGTCGGAGAATATGAACAGTTTTCACGTGGAATACTGAGGTCCTTCAATTTTTTTTGAACAAGCGATAAAATCTTCCTGATCTCTGTAGCGTAATGAAAACTCTCTTGTCTTACTTATATGACTAAACTCAAAGCACTTCAGGTTTTCCCCAATACTGTTGATCATCATAGTTGATGTAGCGAGCGAATGATTATCAATCGGTAACGGACCTTTCACGGAAGGCGCAGAAAGAGGCGAGTACAGAGAATGCGGTGAACGGCGACGATCCTAGGTTTGCAAATCAACCATGGGCGATTGTTTTTTGTAAGCCATGAAATAATGATGATGACTCACTGAGATAGTTATGACGTGACAATCGATTCACTGGGAGAAAAAAAGTAATAGGATTAGCAGGATAGAAGTTCGTTGAAGTTTTCTCAGCCGACAATCAGTAAAGCACTTTTTTATGAACTTTCAACCCAAAAGTCTTAGGATTATGCTTGTTTCCCATTTCTCTCGTTCAGAAATAAGGTTTACTTTCTTGAAATAGCACTTTTAGTAGTCACATATCATTTCGGACGTCACACAAGAATGGACAAGGTGCGCTCAAGTTAGCTAAATACTTCATTACAAACACAAATCTGACGAGCGGCTATTGCACAAACACGTAGCCTTTCGATACACAGTGAGATCCAACGAGACCCATCCTAGAAATTAACGCCCTGCCACAAAGGCGATGCTCACTCATAAAGCATTGAAATCTTCCACAATTTTTGATTCCAAGCCCGAAGAAAGCATGGCACAGCCTTTTCGATAGTACTCTTCTTCAATTAGATAATGATTGTCTGGTACATCTCATATTTCTGTCACTCGGAAATACCATTGCTGCTGTGTGAGACGTGACGAGTCCACGAAAAATTCCCCAGTTCTGACCGAGTGTCACTTTAGGGACGGTGTCTACTGGGCTTGGCGTTTTCTGACGACGATCAACTCACATACAGTACACCTTTCTACTCCACTTCCTTCAACAGATAACTTTTATCTCTCTCCGGTGAAATTCCTTATGAGGAAAGAATTACCAGTTTTCCAGTTAGTGCGATCTTGTGTTCACCTCACAATCATCCCCAATCATTGCCTTTACCTAATTCCTCTTTGATCGCTAAAAGTTTTTTTTATTGGGATTGCACAAATATACAATAACTGCAGTTCCGAGAGCCGAAAATCGAAATTATTACAAGTATCAATGGATGTGAGTCATTGCCTGTGTTGACTATGCTCGAGACTCAACCTTTTGTTCCATTTCAATGATGAAGCCGTGCACACAGCCTCGTCACACTACGTCAGCCATGGATGAACCCGTTTGTTGAACCAAAAAACCGCAGTGTTTTAAGCTGTAAATCCACTTCAGTTTACTAAATGCTTACAAAGACAAGGAGGGCTTGTTTCGATCTTTTGAGAAAAAACTTGACGACTAAAACATCCACTCTCACAAGCCAAACTACTTTTGCTTGACTCTTGAATTACAGTGTGTGGTGAGGTTGATAAAGCAGACTCATGCTCCAGAGTTCAACGAAATGATAGGGAAACGAAGCATGAAGAAAGGTGATGAGATCGATCGCGGCCATGGTCGAGATCGTTCGGGACCTTGGTGTAAGTCTCATTCAAGAGATCTCCCGGAGATGGAACATGTCAGCAGTTGTCGCCTCCATTTTTCTTCCATCCATCCTATGTCGCGGCCACCGATGTTCTGCCCTTTGAATCGATTTTACTACCCCATGGATATCGGATGTGGATGCCATTCGTTTTTTTCGAATCGGAGGTGGCCGCGGTAGACATCGAAAGTGATGTCATGAGAGGCCATTTCCATGATTGCTAGGTGCGTTGCTTTTTATTACAATTGTATATAAATGCTGATTGCTTATGTAGAGGTTGCTATGGGTCCGTATCGGTAATATGGATTCGGTTCTGTGTTGGAACGTAATTGATATGACCACTGTGTTTTCTACTTTATGATAAGCAAAGAAGTCGAATCAATTGTTTGCTAGAATCTACTGCAGTATCTGAAGAATGACATATTTCTTGAGTGATAACAGTTGTGGATGAGCCACTCTTAAAATTAATGAATGCAGTCATTTTCAATCAAGGCTTTGTTTTGGAATGTTTCCTTCAATGTTGTTTGCCGTTTTAGACTGGCTACTATAATGTGCTACTAAGGTCACAGCGATGAAAACAAGACTAAGGAGCAGTAATGGCACAAAAATTCATTACAATAGAAACATGCAACAGAAAAAAGTAAACCCATTTGTTTTTTCCCATGGAGCAACTCGATCATGAGAAATTTTACCGCTGTTGTTGCTGTTACGGTCTTGGATCTTTCAAAGTGTTGTTGAAGTTTCACACACAAGGGCTCGCCTGATCAATACGGTTCTGTGGAATCTTCCAAATGTTTCACATTCATTCTGAGATAGCAGTTGTGGGTCTTTCCAATATCATTACAATGTCATTACAGGCACCATACACGTCTAGCACCATTGATTTTACTTAGAGCATAGGAGATCTGCTTTTCTCAATTCCTTATTGAACTAAGATTTGAGTGTATTGTACGGCGTATTCACAACTGTGCTAATATTCACCATTAAAGAAGTGGTAGAAGCGAAATCATAAGTTTTTGGAGTTACCAATCGACATAAAGTTCAACGTTTTGTCATTTCAAGACAACTATCCGATTTGTTGGCATCAACGAGATGAATGAAGAAGTCAAGAGCACGAAGTCAAGAGTCAGTAGTATTAGTAGTGTTGAACAAAGATATGACTGTTATTAGGAAAGAAAAGAACTGAACAATGACAACCCAAAACACATTTGGAAGTACTTAAGAATTTATCTCTTTTTTTGCAGAACTTCTCCATTGTTCGATTTCATACCTGGGATGTTTCCAGAGTGTGTAGATCTTATGCATTTTCATCCTCAACTCTCACACCTGAACGCGATAATTATTAGCAAATCGCGAGGTGTTTTCTAAATTTTATCTCAGAAATGCAGACAGTGTGCGACATAAGTATCATATTGATTATATATTCTGTATAGAATACATCTCAATAGAATGTGGTATGAGGATTTTTCAGATGCTAAAAAGACACAACTCATGAACTGAGTAGTAACTGATCGGAAACATAATCATGCATGAAATCGTATAGATCTAGACCAGATGAGTTGTAACCTTAGGTGATTACGGTCGTCAACAAAACGATTCACAACAAACTACGGTGAGTGTTTGAGCTTATGATAGTCACGAATTCTAGTACTTTTACTGCTTTTTTTGCAGAGTCATGTTGTTTCATATATACCTACGCGAATTCAGTGGTGAGCAAAAACTCGACCCCAGGCGGGAGTCGAACTCGCACTCCATCTATACCGTGGAAGCGTGCTACCACTACACCACCTGGGCACATTTGCGCCACACAAAGGTTTATTGTGCAAGGATCATTACCACTTTGAAATGAGGAAGATAGTGGTGACTGATATTCTGCGTTATTGATCCCATCTGAGTGTCGTCATAGCTCGGATCATAAACTTTCACCTAGGACGCGCCGTATCCTCGATTTTCGTTCAAAGGAGCGATAAACTCGTCCTGATCTCAGTAGCTGATTAAAAATCCTGACTTACTCATAAGACTAAATTTCAAAATTTTCGGAGAATTTCAGGTTTTTTACGGCACTATTGACTATCATAGGTTGACGAGTTGATCAAAATTTTTTGAGCAAGGAGATTTTTTAAAATGTAAAGGGAAA